TTTGGTTTGGCATTTCTGTTTTCATGGGGATTAAATCCAGTGCCTTTTACATGCTTGAACTATACTTCAGACTCACATCTGCAATAATTTGAGAGCAGATTGCGAAGTGAGAAGTACTAGTCCTTTTTTTCTTGTTGTTTTGTGGCATTTATTTAATTAGCAAAGAAATGCAATCAAATGCATCATTTGGTACATACTTTTTGTACTGTTTCTTTTTAATCAATAAAAACCCATTGTGGAACATTTGGATGATCCATAGAATTCTGTATATGTTTTAAAACCTGTTCCTTAATGCTTCTTCCAAAAAATTATTGGAACTGGAATACGGCTTAGTGTAGAGTGCTTGCTTAGCACGTGCAAGGCCCTGGGTCCTGGATTTGATTGCCGGCACCATCAAAGAGAAAAAGCTGCGTGCGGCCATGACGTTGAGCATGGCAAACTTCTCATGAGTCTACTGGTTCCATCTTTTACATTTTAAAAAGTAAAACAAAATGTTGTCTGTGAAGAACATCTAAAAGACACTGCCTTTACTCCATTTGTACGTTTGTGTAAGTGTCCATCTCAGAGAAAATCATTTGAACCAGAAATGTAAAAAATACAAATATAAGGAGGTCCTCTCATGGACTCGGGAAATTTGAGAAAAGGTTCTCTCAGACTTGAGGAGCTAATATGAAACAAGATCTAAATGTTGTTGTGGAAAGAGGGGAGGAGGAGGTGGGATGGAAGGACACACCCAGGATGATTACTGGGGACAAATAGAAACCAAGGTGCTAGAAGTAAACTGATTAGCAGTAAGCTGTTAGTTGATTCATGATAAATATTGTCTGAGGATTGAGAGAAATCTTGATTTGTCTGAAGCCCTATGTATTTGATCTTTAGCACCGTTTGTTTTCTTAGGAGATGGAGAAAGAAATAAAGAATGTCTTTCGTAATGGAAACCAAGATGAAATTCTCAGTGAAGCATTCCGCTTGACTATTACACGGAAAGATATTCAAACTCTAAATCATTTAAATTGGCTCAATGATGAGGTAATCTTGCCCTTATTTTATATGCACATAGTAGGTAAATACTAAGTCAAAACTAAATCAAGGTATGATCTTACTGTTCCGTGTGGTTCTCGGGGACTTGAGAGATGGCTCAGTAGTTAAGAGCACTGGCTCTTCTTGCAGAAGACCCGAGTTTGAATCCCAGCACCCACCTGGTGGCTAGCAACCGTCTGTAACTCCATTTCCAGGGGATCTGACTCCTTCTCTGTCCTCCACAGGTATTGCATGACACGAGTGCACTTACACACATGCAGGCCTAACACTCATATGCATAAAATAAATAAATCAAAAAAAATTTTTAATGTGGTTCTCATATGACCTGAGTCTGAGTCACCGTCACAGGGCTCTCCATTCTCCTAAGTGACTGTGGTGCAAGCGAGCATTTTTTACCAACATCTCCATTGCTTTTGTGTACTTGAAAGCCTGAGCATTCCTGAATTTACCTTTATGGATGCTGAAGGAGAGGCTATTCACTCCTAGTGTTCTTCCTCTCTAAGGCATCTGCCCTACAGTTGATAACTTCTGAGCAAATATTACTGACCATAGTGCAGCAGGAGAGGAAACTGGGATTTCTTGTCAGGAACCAGTTCTACTTCCCTTTCCTCATCTGCTTAGTGTAGGATGCTTGCATTGTAAGCAGTAAGCTTTCTGAAATAGCCTTCATTTGTCGATGATAATTTTTATTCTGACAATGAAAAAAAAATTATTTTTGTGTGTCTGGTATGTGGTGGGGTTGGGTGACCTTCACCTCCCAATTCCATTTAAATATGTTATTAATTACGCCATGATCTTTAAATTGATCTCCCTTGTCCTAAACCTTTAGAATTTGTTTGATTTCAGAAGGATTTTTAAAATTTATTACTATCGTGTACTGTGATACTCAGGGCATACAACATGCCCACAGCATGCATGTGCAGTCAGAGAACAACTTTGTAGAGTTGGCTGTCTCCTTCCATGTTTACTTGGGTTCCAGGGATCATACTCAGGACATCAGCTTTGCACAGCAGTTGCCTTTAACCACTGAACCATCTTGCCAGTCCTCAGAAGGATATTGTCACAGCAAAAGAAGGCAGTTGGAGTTAGGTATCTTTTTGTAGATTGCTTCTTTCTTAGACCTGGAAGGAGCATCCCTGCCTGATCCTCTGGATATACTCGAGCTTCACAGCTGTAGAACATTTTTAGATGCTCAGCATAATGAGCAATAGATGTTCTAGATACCCATATGTTGTTCTTACATACGTAAGTCCTTCCAAACAATAATATTAAGACATCAACTGAGCATTTATTTATCTCATGTTAGGTACTACTTTAAGTGTTTGGTGTGTTCTAATCATCTAATCAGTTACTGTAGTTTTATCATCTCCATTCTTCAGTGCAGTGGTGGAACGCTTGTGTATTAGCATGCACACAAGGCCCTGGGTCCTGGGTTTGATTGCTAGCACCTTCAGAATTAAAAAAAGGACCATGTAGGTGGTGCTGGTGAGCATGGCATACTTCTTACAGTTGTACTGGATGCCATATTTTACATTTTATAAAGTAAACAGATATGGCTTAAGTGGTTAAGAGCATTTACTGCTCTTTCAGAGGACCAGGTTTGGTTTCCAGTACCTATATCAGGTAGCTCACAATAGCCTGTAACTCCAGTTCCAGGGGAATCTGACACCCTCTGGCCTCCAAAGGTATGTGGTATATATAAACTCATGCAGGAACACACATAAATATAAATAATCTTTCTTTTAAAAGTCAAAATATTATCTATGAGAAGAATACCTAAAAGACAAAGCATAGAAAGATTAAGAAACTTACAAGGTAATACAGGTGGTAAATAGCAGGGCTAAGATCGAGATCCAGGCATTGGGTATTTACTGTAGTGTACTCCCTCAGATTCTTAAATGGGATCTGTCATTGGACCAGTTGTATAGAACCTAAGAACTGTATATCATGCCCAAGATGTTGATTTCCTCTAGGACCAGCTGAATCACCATTGTTTCTGCCACTGGTCAATTTGTAAGGTAAAATTTTAGAAACTCATGACTCCCTGAGTACCATTCTTTGACTAAGATTGATAAGGAACATGTGACTTAATCACATCTTTATTAGAAACCCCACTTGCTTCTTTTGGCTTCTAAGGCAATAGAACATTGGATTTAAAATGGAGGAAGAAAGCTCATCAAATTAAAGAGGGAATAGAAATCATGAGTATTGAAAAATACTCTCTGATAAATTGTTTCTGATCTTTGATTATTTGCCATTTTTCTTTTTCCTGCCACTGCTGGAGAAGAACGTCACTTCCAAAGGGCTTAGAGCTGCTTGCTATGAATTATGTACAACCTAGGGGGCAGCAGTAAGTAGGCTCTCAGCAGAGTCCTCACTACTGTGGCAGTTACCTCAGTGAGGTCCCTCACAGAGGCAGCATTCATCAGGGCATATTTTCCATTCCCTGGGCCCATCAGAGCCTGGACTTTGAGCAAGCAGAGTTAATGGAAATTACATTATTTGAGCAGATGAAAGGAAGGAAAGAGTCCTTGTTTACTTTATCCCTTCCACACCTACCTATAACATTGTAGAGAGTACTTTTCATGTTGAGAACTATTTGTGAAGGACATTTTTTTCTTCTTTTAGACAAGGTATTCCTATAGCATACCCAGCTGGCTTGGAACTCACTGTGTAGATCAGGCTGGCCTCAATCTCACAGAGATACGCCCGCCTCTGCCTCCCAAGCACTGGGATTAAAAGTGTGCACCACCACGCCTGGCAAGAAGCACCATTTTTAAAGTATCATATTTATTAGGCTTGGCAAGCCAAAATTCTAATGAAGTATTAGGTATACTTAAATTCTAATGCTTACTTAAGATGTACTTAATTCTTTTTTCTCAATTGTGAATGTACAGTTTTTTTTGCAAATAGTTAATCTTCTTAATTATATTCGTCCCTCAAATACTTTTTCTTTTTCTTTGGGTCTCAAGACAAGGTCTCCCTGGAGCGCCAGCTGGCCTAGAACTTACTATGTAGACCAGGATGGCTTGCCTCTGCCTCTGCCTCCTGAGTGCTGAGGCTAAAAGGGTGTGCTACCACGCCTGGCAAATAAATACTTCTCTTTTCTTTCTTTCTTTTTTTTTGTTTTTTTTTTAAATGTGTATGCATGTATTGGCCACATGTAGGTAAGTGTGCACCAGTGTCGTGCAATGCCTGCAGAAGTCAGAAGAGGCTTTCAGATCCCCTGGGACTGGACTTACGGACAGTTGTTAGCTGCCATGTGGGTGCTGGGATTCGAACCCGTGTCTTCTACGAGAACAACTAGTGTTCTTAGCACTGAGCCATCTCTCCAGCCCCATAAATACTTCTTAAAATAACCATTTCTCTTTTTTATGTCCTATCAGTATCATAGGATATATTAAAATTCTCTGCAAAATAAGGTAACATAATCATTCTTACCATTGACAAAGAATATAAGAGCTAGAAAATGAAAGGAATCAGATTTAGTTTACAAAGAAGATAAAATCCTCAATACTCCAGAAGGAAAAGAGGGAGGGTGGAAGGGAGGGAGGAAGGGAGGAAGGGAGGAAGAAAAGTTAGGACTAGTGAGATGGCTCAGTGGTAAAACCAGTTGCAGCCAAACCCGATGACCTGCATGCCATCACCAGGCTCCCCATGGTGGAAGAAGAGGACCAACCCACAAGTTGTCCTCTGACCTCTACATGTGTGCCATGGCATGAGTGTGCCCACAGACATAAACGCATATAATAAATAAGTAAATAAATAAGTAAATAAATGTAATAATTAAATAAGATCCAGAAATCCTGTATTTGAGATGGATACAAAGACATTATACTACCCTTTCTCCAATCTCTTTTTTTTTTAAATGAGAAGTAAATGGCTGGAGAGATGACTCAGCCGTTAAGAGCACTGACTTCTTCCAGAGGACCTGGGTTTGCTTCTTAGTGCCCACATGGCTAACAACCTTCTATAACTCCACTTCCAGGGGATCTGACACCCTCTGGCATCCATGGGCATTGCATGTATATGGTGAACTTACATACATGTAAGCAAAACACCCACACACATTTAAAAAAAAGAAAACTAAAAAATCAATATTAATTTTTTTAATTAAAAGAAAAATTCATGAAATTCTTTATGAGTTCAAAAGATTTTACTACCATGTAAGAAAATTAAACTTCTCAAAAATGGAAGGTAGGAAGTGACTACCTTATAAAAAATACAAAAGAAGATAAAAGATAAAATTCTTGACATTGAAAATGGGAAATTCAGGATTGGAGAGATGGCTTAGCAGTTAAGAGCATTTACTACTTTTCCAGAGGACTTACGTTCCGTTCCCAGCACCCACGTGGCAGCTAACAACCATCTATAACTCCAGACCCAGGTGATCTGGCACCCTCTTTGCCTCCATGAGCATTGCATGCATGTGGGACACTTACATTACATGCAGGCAAAATACTCATATACATAAAAGAAAAAGGGGAATTGCTATACTGGGTCAGGATATTGGTTGTTAATAAAAGTGTCTAAAAAAGGGAAAGGAATTAAAGAGAATTACCTGTAAGAGTAGATTGAAAGCACCAAGAAGCAAATATTTCCAAATGGTATCATACTAGCATTGTTTTATTAATTCCTAGAGATTGAATTTTATGACTCCTGAAGTCATTCAAATTCAGGTCCTGTGTTAATCATCAGAGGAGGACTGCTTTGGGCTGCGTGTTTCTCCTCATGTCTAGATGTTTGTACATTTTAAAAATATTTTATGTGTATGCATGTATGTAAGTGACCCATATAGTACAATGCCCGTGGAGGTCAGTAGAGGGCGTCGGATCCCCTGGAACTGGAGTTATGGAAGGTTGTTAGCCACCATGTGGGTGCTGGGAATCGAACTCAGATCCTCTGGAAGAGCATCCAGTGCTCTTAACCACTGAGCCTCTCCAGCCCCATGTGTATACTTTTTTTGAAGTGTTAGGGATTGTTTTATA